CTGGAGTTGTGCATAAAGACATGAAATTTAATTTTAAAAGACAATATTGACCTGTGACATGTTTTATTTGATCTTGTTCATATCCAAAAAATCGGAAAAAAAAATAAAATGAAAATATAAAATAAAATAATTTTCCTACCTACCTACCCCATTTTTTTCAGACTGGTAGCAGGAAACAAGACTATTATTTTTTTGGCCCTAGTTACTGAATAGTTTCCCAGAACTTTTGTTTTTAATGAACAATTAAAATCTGAAATATTTAATAATGAGGAATTCAATGATTGTGAAGTTAAAATCACTGTGAAATGTTTCAAGGAAGAAAATCATGAAATTTTAGTTAACACCAGGTCCATCTGTCTGTCAATACTTTTAGGTGACACAATAACATAAACACCTAAAAATTAGCCTTTTGGAGTATGAAGAGAGAAACAATTATTTGGTCACCTGAGTCACTTTTCATATTTTCAACTTCTTCTCAAGAACCACTGGACCAATTTCAATCAAACTTGCCACAAAGTATCCTTGGGTGGACGTATTATGTTATGGCATTCATGTCCGTCTGTCTGTCTGTTAGCTTTTCTCGTGTCCGGCTCATAACTTTAATACTATTAGGCCTAGGATTATCAAACTTTGTCAGCTGATACTTCTTGGGTAGAAGGTGTGTCATGCACAAAAAGTAGGTCGCTCTGACCTTTAATGAAGATGCTATGGCCAAATATGGAAAAATCCTGTCCGGCTCATAACTAGAAAACTATTGGACTTAGAATCATCAAACTTGGCCAATTTATGCATCTTAAGTAGAAGGTGTGTCGCGACCTATTTCAAGGTCACTGTGACCTTTAATTTAAGTGAAATTTAAAAAAAAAACCTGTCTTTTTACTATTAGATTACACAATCCCAAAAATGCAAGAGTGTTGCAGTATCCTTATTAAAAAAATGTTAAATCAAGAAAATACTTATTTTTTTCAGTATATACTTTACAGCAATCCACTATAACAAATGTAATGTTACAAGAGAAATTCCACCTCTCCCATGGGTGTAATTATCAAGCACTGGACAAGAAGAATTTGATAACAGAAAATTGCATGTCAAATTAGAGAGAAATTAATGAGTTTAGTGTGAGGAGCTAACTGGTAGAGCACCTCTGATCAAGCAGGTGTTATCTATATCTCTTGGGAACTGGGCAAAAAGAATCAGCCATGTTGGATTAAATAGTTGGCTAGCCTAACTTTTAAAATGAATTTGATGAAAGTAATTAAAACTTATTTGATATTGTATAATAAATTAATTTGATATTGTATAATAAACTAATTTGATATTGTATAATATAATGAAAACTAATAATACTCTGGGGGGGGGGGGGGGGGGGGGTTGGAATCAGCATGCCCGTTGTCCATGTGGATTGCAGCTTAAAACCAGTCTAACATTAAATCTAAAAAAAAAATCAAGTATTAATTTTAAAAAAATGTTTTAATTATGGTAGATAGTCCCTACAAATCTAAGAGTAATGCAGGGACCTTATTAAAAATGTTGCATCAAGATTACACTTTTTTTTTCTTTTTATAAATCTTTGTTTTCAAATATAATTTTCAGAATGACATAAATATGCATTTTTATTGCACTACAAAGCAGATAGTATGTATAGATCCATTCATCCTTTGGGAGTAATGAGTGGACATGCATCCAGTTAAAGATTAATTAATGAGTTCAGTGTAGGAAGGCTAGCTGCCTCAATCATTTCTGTTAGAGGATCTCTGATCAAGCAGCTCTTATCTGTGTCCTTTGGGAATTAGACAAAAGAACTGCTTGTCAGTTTATAGCATATGTCATTTGATGGCCAGCCTTTTATTTTTAATATTAATTTGATATAGATTAAGTTGTTAAGACTAAATTGATATTGTTTAATATGATAATTTTATTTAATTTTTTGAAAATATCAACTAATTCAGAGCATCATGTCTCACAAATCTGAAAGCTGGGGGGAGGGGGGCTGCAGATGGGCATTTGTCAAGCTCTAACACAACCAGTTGATGATCTATAATATAATATTTGTTATAATTAATGCCTACACTATGTATTATAAGGAATGGAAAAATCATTGAAACCCTTACAGAAAAAACCAATAGAAACTTATAAGTGTTTTATACTTCACTTATAAGCAACTTGTAAGTCAAGTATAAGTTTTGAAATTTACTTATAAGTGTACTATAAGTCAAAGTAAGTATAAGTGAGGAACAGATTTTGTTAATACTTCACTTATAAGTGAAGATTAGCCACATATCTGTGAATATTTCACTTATACTTCACTTATAAGTGAAGATCAGCATGGTATTAGCCAGAATAAGCGTGGACTTAGACTTTTTACATTATACTAGACTTCTCTTGAGTTGCATTGTGGGTATTCAAGCTAACCAATCAGAAACTTTGTCTCTGCAGAGATAAACAACAAGAATTTGAAACTGAGTTAGTCTCTGTGAAAGGATGTTGTTGGAGATTTCAAATTTATTTTGAGTATGCCTTCACATCAGGTTCAACAAGTAGGTTCTATTCACATCATCTTTTTATTTTAACTTCCTTTGCCTAAAATTTTGAATCAATTGACTCAGTTGCTTTCAGATTTCATAAATTTGAAGAAGCCTCAAGGTCATTAAATCTTAACTGATTTCTTTTTGTCCAACATTTTTGTTTGTAAACTGAAATAATATATAAAGTTTGCATCATCAAAGAATGTCATATGAGAAGGAATTTTTTTTTCATAAAATGTTAACTTGATTATTTCATCTTAGTGCAGATGCATATGTATTTGTAAAAAAAAAAATTTTGAACATCATGCAACCCCTGCATGATAGGAAGTTCTAAATTAAAATCTTCAAGGCAGTGCTGTACTTCACTTATATGTGACTTATAAGTGACTCATACTTGATAAAGTATGAAGGGCTAATACTTGACTTATAAGTCACTTATAAGTGACTATACTTGCATAAAGCAAAAGTGGCTAATACTTGGCTTATAAGTCACTTATAAGTCAAGCACTTCATTTGCATATAAATCCTAATGAGTCACTAATCAGTCACTTATAAGTTAAATGTATCAGTGAAGTATAAGTCCAGTATAAACAACTTATAAGTAAAAGAATAAACCACTTATAAGTCACTTATCAGATATTTCTGTAAGGGAACCCTTGTATCAAAGTTGACATGATTTTGTTGCACTCTAAACTGTTTATGACAATTGAACAATATTTGACGGGCGTATCATGCTGTGGCGGGGCACTTTATTTTTTTATGAAATATTTTTATCAAACTTAATATGCTGATATGCATTTGTGAGAACTATTCAACTGCATCAAAAACATCTGACATTGAAGTTTCATGTGACCTTTATCTCACTTTTCTTAAATTTGCATTTTGCTTAATTTTAAAGAAACCATTTAAGATATATTTATGTAAGCTTATGCACTTATACATAATTTGGTGAGAATTAATCATCTATATCCAACTTTTTAGATCTCATTTTCAATTTTAAAGAAATTATTTAAGATATTCTCATCAAATTTCATACACTAATTAGGGGTGGGACGATATACCGATACACCGATACATACCGATATTTTCTGCTAAGATACGGTTTACGATACATGCATTAAAATATCGGTACGAAACGATACACGAACGACCTATCGTTGTCCTTGGAAAATGGCGGCTTGTACGAAGCGAAGAGATATTGATATTGACTATACGCTTTAGAACTAATAAGTCGTAGATAAGGGGTAAAACATTTTCACTTTTAAGCATCCTTGGAAGATGGGACAAGAAAAGTTCCGTATGTAAAGCCGCTAAAGTGTGTGATATACAGAAAGTATCGGTTCCCCAACAGTTGATATTATTAACAGATTAATTGTTAGTCCATCTGGCACTAACAGCTCATAACAAAGCATTGATTCTCTAATTTCAAGAATTTAAAATTTTGAAACAAATTGCAAATTAATTATTTTTGTAAACTCAACTTGGTTACAGACTTTCAGCAATTAATAATAATGTACATTTGATGTTTTTTTAATGAATTTTTAGTGTTCTTGATGGACTACACAACTATTTGTAAACAACTTGTTTATAGACATTTGGCAATACGTACAAGTAATATTGTTTTTGTAAATATTTAGTCAATGACACTGATGAACTTCAAGTATTAATTTCAAATCACGTATGATTTGATATAGAATAATTTGTTGATTTATTTTCAAGAAAAAAAATGAAAACAAATACTAAGTTTTTCAAATAGTTTTATAATTTATCATAATATCGAGATACGTATCGTATCGTGTTATATGTATCGAGATACGTATCGTATCGCAAGATCTGTGTATCGTCCCACCCCTAACACTAATATAAATACTCATGTTGCATTACTAATATACCCTTGGTGGGGCATTCATGTCCCATGGACATATTTCTAGTTATTGATAAAGCCAAAATATTGTTTATAAAGCTTTTGAAATCTATTCACTGTATAGCATTCTATCTTAAGTGAGGGGTATAACAAAACAATTATAGACTTGGATTTTGGCAACATTTAATTTAATGGACCTGAAGGTGAAAATGTTGCCCTTGGTCTGAAGCCTTGGGCAACATTTTCACCTTCAGGTCCAACAAATCATATATTACCCTCATACCCAGTCAATAACTGTATATTGATGCCCACAACTGTTCAGCTGTGACATCACAGACTGCCAAAAGCTGTGATATTAAACAGAGGCAAATAAAAAAGTCAAAGAAAATGTAATAATCAGAAAATTCATTGTTTTTCACTCCTGCAAATAAAACAAAAAATATGTTCCGCTCGTGAAATAAATTCTATAACTACATTGAATACATGTATCCTTTGTATATGTCACATTGCTTGTTCCTTATATGTGATATGGTTGACACTTCTACTTAATATCATCAAACAATCAAATAAATATAGCATTAAAAGAATTGCTTTTTGGGGTAAATTTACAGGGGGAAAAGGCAGCGTTTTCATCCTGTTCATTCATTCAAAGCAGTGCTGAAAAGTTAAACAACTATGGTGCCTTTGACAATCAAACAGAGAATTTAGAAAGACATAACAAGACCCATGTAATTAAAAAGCCTGATGAATGTAACATCTGTGGGAAAACATTTAATTGTCCACGTGAGTTACGGAGACACATGAGGACACATACAGGTGATAAACGTTATAAATGTGATAAGTGTGGGAAAACTTTAAGTCGCTCAGGTCACTTATTGAGGCACATGAAGACACATACAGGTGAAAAACCTTTTAAATGTGATTTGTGTGAGAAAGCATATTATGAAAAGTCAGACTTAAATATGCACTTAAGGACACACACGTGTGATAAACAATACAAATGTAATATATGTGGGAGAGTGTTCTCCACTTCTGGAAACTTGATCAGGCACATGAGGACGCATACAGGTGTTAAACCTTATAAATGTGATGTGTGTGGGAAGGCATTCTCTGTATCTGGTGTCTTACAGAGACACAAGAAGATACATACAGGCGAAAAACATTACAAATGTGATATATGTCAGAAAATGTTCAGAGAAAAGTCAGAATTAAAAGAGCATCTGAGGACACACACAGATGAAAAACCATGTAAGCGGAACCCGTATAAATGTGATGTTTGTGGAAAGTTTGTATCATATCATTTGCAGAGACACATGAGGATACATGCTGCTAAAAGATATTATAAATGTAATATGTGTCGGATAATTTTCAGAGCAAAGTCAATTTTAAAGATGCATTTTAGGACACACACAGGTGTTCTGGACCAGTTTTCTTTTCAAACATCAGACTCTTTACAACACCCAAGGTCATGCAGAGGTGAAAAATTTTCAAAGTGTGATAAGGTATGCAGTCATTCAAATAATATACAGAGACACAATAGCACATACTTGGGAAAAGATCCAGATAAATGTGAAGTTTGTGGGAAGGTGTTTAGTAAATTAGTGTATTTACGGAGACACAAGAAGATACATACAAGTGAAAAACCTCATAAATGTGACAAGTATGGGAAAGAATTCAGTGAAAAAGAGCATGTGTGTCAGGAGCCATTCATTGAAAATATTGATTTAGAAAGACACGAGAGGACACAGGAATGTAAAAACCCATTTGTTGATATGGGCAGGAGGGTGAGTCATCAAATTGGGCAATTTGACAAACAAATAAGGATTTCTACAGATAGAAGATCCAGCATGTGCCAAGTGTGTGGAAAAATGGTCACTTGCATGGGGACACACAGTGAAAATGGGCATGTGTGTCAGGAGCCATTCATTGAAAATATTGATTTAGAAAGACACGAGAGGACACAGGAATGTAAAAACCCATTTGTTGATATGGGCAGGAGGGTGAGTCATCAAATTGGGCAATTTGACAAACAAATAAGGATTTCTACAGATAGAAGATCCAGCATGTGCCAAGTGTGTGGAAAAATGGTCACTTGCATGGGGACACACAATGAAAATGGGCATGTGTGTCAGGAGCCATTCATTGAAAATATTGATTTAGAAAGACACGAGAGGACACAGAAATGTAAAAACCCATTTGTTGATATGGGCAGGAGGGTGAGTCATCAAATTGGACAATTAGACAAACAAATAAGGATTTCTACAGATAGAAGATCCAGTATGTGCCCAGTGTGTGGAAAGATGGTCACTTGCATGGGGACACAGAGTGAAAATGGGCATGTGTGTCAGGAGCCATTCATTGAAAATATTGATTTAGAAAGACACGAGAGGACACAGAAATGTGAAAACCCATTTGTTGATATGGGCAGGAGGGTGAGTCATCAAATTGGGCAATTAGACAAACAAATAAGGATTTCTACAGATAGAAGATCCAGTATGTGCCCAGTGTGTGGAAAGATGGTCACTTGCATGGGGACACACATTAGGACACAGATGCATCAGAAATCTTATAATTGTATTTTGTGTGAGAAGACCTATAATCTTAAACATTCCTTGAAGAAACACATAATGACACACACAGGTGAAAAACCTTGTAAATGTGATGTGTGTGGGAGGGCATTCAAGGAAGCCTGGCTCTTACAGAGACACATGATGATACATACAGGTGATAAACCTTATAAATGTGATGTGTGTTGGAAGGCATTCAACAGATTAGGTACCGTACAAATACACATGAAGACACATACAGGTGATAAACCTTCTAAATGTGGTGTGTGTGGGAAGGCATTCATGCGACTATGGCACTTAAAGAGACACATAATAACACATAAAGATGAAAAACCAAATAAGTGTAATGAGAAGGCATTCAACCAATCAAGACAATTACAGAGACACTTAGGATTACATACTAGTGAAAAACGTTATCAGTGTGATGTATGTGGAAAATTGTTCAAGGAAAAAGGTACCTTAATGATACACATGAGGATACACACAGGTTATAAACCTTATAAATGTGATGTGTGTGGGAAGCTATTTATCCAATCAGGAGGCTTTAAAAAACACCAAAGAACTCACACTGGGGAAAAACCTTATAAATGTGATATGTGTGGAAAGACATTTACGGATTCAAGCAATTTACTAAGACACAAAATGACGCATACAGGTAAAAAGCCATTTAAATGTAATGTGTGTTTGATGACTTTTCGCCAATCAGAACACTTAAAGACACACCTAAGGACACGTCATACAGGTGAAAAACTATATTGAATAGATGTCTGTGGACACAAGAGATGTACAGTTGTGTAAAGTGTACATGAAGACAGCTTCACTAGATTCACTTGTATGAAGATATGATGCAAACGTGTGAAGCTCTCTAAAACAGTCAATTGTGTGGGAATGCTGTTCATCAAGCAAAATTAAAGAAACAATTTAGAAAACATATTGATATTCATGGAGGAAAGCCTGTTGCATTTGACAATGGAAAGTTATTCACTTGATCTCAACATCAGTGGAAAAGGATTAGTTGTAAAAGTACACTTGAAAGACACTTGAAGACACATTTGTAAGAAAAAAAATTAAATATGTGTTTGAAGGAATTCAAGTTCACAGAGAGTGTATAGAGACACATGAAAATACAAATAGGAGAAAAACATTGTAATGATGGGTGCTAAAAGCAATAGTTGAAAAGACACAGTTGAAAATACACGTAGAAACATACAGGTGAAAAGATTTGTGAGGGTACTGCGGGGAGGTGTACATTGACAATGGATGCTTAAAACATTAAAACCCATACTGGTAAAAATTAATGAGAAAGCATTTATTCAGATAGGACATTTGAAGAGACATGAAACCCACAGAAAGCCCTAGAAGTGTGATTTGTTTCTGCGAAAGTTCAGTGAAAAAAAAACAACTGAAAAGGTAACATAAGAACACTTTAAAAATGATGTTTTATGAGAAGGTTCAGAGTAATTAGATATTAATTAAATACATGGCAATGTATAAGGAAAAACTATTTTTTGAAAGTGTTTTGATGAACATTGTGGAATTAAAGAAAACAAACCTTGTAAATTTGATTTACATGTATGTACGGGAGTATTCAATGAAAATGGCAGCATTAAAGGTCAAATTCATACATAACCATGTGTTAAAAGACATTTTAATAGAAAACGAAAACTTCATTTTTCTATGTAGAATGCTACTTGTAGATACTAGTTACCATATGTGTTATATATATTCTTTTAAAAAGCATGACTGTCAGAATTCTAAATCATGTTGAAGTCAGTGAGATTTGTTTCTTTTAAGGAAGCTCTAAACACTAACAAAAAGTGCTTTTTAGGTCACCTCGACGAAGTTGAGATGAGCTTATGCTATACCCCCGGCGTCGGCGTTAGTGTCGACGTCCCGGTAAAAGTTTTAGGAGCAAGTCCATTACCAGGTAACTAAAAGCCCTACCTGGACCAAACTTACATGGATGATGCATCAAGGGATGGAAACTACCACACTTGCTTCGGATGCTGGCTCTGACCTAGATTTTCCACATGAGTGACCAGGTTAAAGTTTTTGGAGCAGGTCCGTTCCCAAGTAACTATAAGCCCTACCTGGACCAAACTTGCATGAATGATGCATCTAGGAATGGACACTACCACACTTGCTTCGGATGCTGGATCTGACCTACATTTTCAAGGTGAGTGACCAGTTTAAAGTTTTTGGAGCAGGTCCATTCCCAAGTAACTATAAGCCCTACCTAGACCAAACGGCTCAACTAGGATATATGGATAAGGGCATGAATGATGCATCAAGGGCTGGACACTACCACACTTGCTTTTGATGCCGGATCTGACCTAGATTTTTTAGATGAGTGACAAGGTTAAAGATTTTGGAGCAGGTCCGTTCCCAAGTAACTATAAGCCCTACCTGGACCAGACTTGCATGGATGATGCATCCAGGCATGGACACTACCACACTTGATTGGGATGCTGGATTTGACCTAGATTTTTCGCATGAGTGACAAGGTTAAAGATTTTGGAGCAGGTCCGTTCCCAAGTAACTATAAGCCGTACCTGGACCAAACTTTCATGGATGATGCCTCCAGGGATGTACAGTAATTCACCTGCTTCGGATGCTGGATCGGACCTAGATTTTCCACATGAGTGAATGTTAGCCATATTTTAACCAAATTAGCAGGGATGATGTATCTAGGGATGAATACTTCAAGACTTGCTTTGGATTCTGAATGTGACCTACATTTTCCAGATGAGTGACCAAGATAATTTTTTCGAGTAGCTATATAATATTATGGCCTGTTATGATAAACTTTGTATAGATGGTGCATCTAAGGATGAAAACTTCCAGACTTGCTTTGGATGTTGGAACTGACCAAAATTTTCTTGAGTAGTAAACAGGTTAAAAGTTTTTGAGCAGGTCTATTTCCAAGTAACTATAAGTCCTACTTAAATCAAACTTGCATGGATATTGATCTTTGGATGTACACTAAATGGGAAAAAAATATGATGCGTAATTTGCATTACTTATAAATAACATTCGTCGAGTTGAACTTCGTAATCCTTGATTACCTATGTTTGAACTTGGAGAAAAATAAATCATATAAAGGTGTGCATATTGAGTCTACTTAGTTCATTTCAACATAGGGTACCTGTCTTATTTCCGCAGGAAAAATGTTCAAAGCGATGAACTATTCATGAGCAGAAATCACTGTTGTTTACCAACATTGGGAAAATTAATGGAAAATATGAACTCAATTACCTATTCTCTGTCTATTATAATGCTAGGAATATTCTGATCTATTACAAATTGTGTAATTAACTGTAAATACATGTAATCGTTTTTTCTATCATACTTCTAGGGCAGATCACTCTAACTGCATGAAACTACCCTGTAAGTAGAACTCTATTGTGTGCAGTGTTAAGAGCTTCCTTAATACGAGAAAGAGATATTACATTAGGACATATGGGAATACATGTATATGAGAAAGAACTCTTATATATATTATGTTTTGGAAGAGTTGGACAGGACATCATGTATGATAACATAAATGCATGTATAATGTATGTTGGTAAACCTCAACAATTAAATTTTTATTCTTTTAACTTTTCCATTGTATATTTCATTTTGACGTATCATCGAGGTATACTAACGGGATAAGCACCTTCTTCAGCGCCATGTTTATTTCATCAAAACACACAAGTTTATGTTTGTATAATGGGAGAAACAGATCCCATAACCTGTGCTTGTTAGTAACAAATTTTCTCACACTCGAGACTCTTGAAAATTTAAAAAGATAAGGAACTCAAGTTGAAAAAGAAAAAAATTACTAACTTGCAATGGTTATGGAATCTTATTAATATATAGTGTTATGGGGAAGTCCATATCCAGGTAACTAGAAGCCTTGTCTGGATTAAAGCTGCGTTGATGAGACTTGCTTTGGATGCCATACCTGATACACACTTCCCGGATGAATTACCAGGTTCAAGTTTTGGGGCATGTTCATTCCCAAATAAACTATAAGCTCTGCCTAGACACAACTTGAACGGATGATGCATCTGGGGATGTATATTACTAGGTTGTTGTAGATGCTAGTTCTGACTAACATTTTTGAGCAGGCCTATTCCAAAGTAACTAAAAACCCTACCTGGATAAAACTTGTGTGGATTCTGCATTTAAGGATGCACTGCCAGACTTGCTTCAGATGCTAGATCTGACCTTTTTTGAAACAGGTCCATGGCTAAGTAATGGACCAGCCACGGCCAAAGTTGCATGAATGATGCATCAGAAAAATGCACATTACCAATGCTGGATCTGACTTCTGTTAAACAGGACCATTCTTAACCCTCTTACTGCCAGAGGGGTCATATATGGGCTCTACCCACTGGCTGCCACATGGGTCATACAGGGGTCATATATGTCCCATAATATATGTCCCATCAGAAGTATTTTATATGAAAAAGTATAAAAATTGTAACGTTATCTTGGCAAATACTGAAAGACAACCGTTCATTCTCGCGTATAGAAGTATTCCTAAAAATTATATAGACCAATTGCCACAATTCGTAAAAAAAATTGTCTGGCTTATTAAGGGTGGATTATTTCGTGGAAACAATGTGTCGTTAAAATTTAGTGATATACAGTACTCTGTCCTGCGAGGTGCGAGGGATTATAATATATAATCTAGATCGAGAAAATCACCCCCTCTACCTAACTTTCCTCTCAGAATTTTAATTTTCAAAGGTCAGTTTGTAATATTAAATATCCGTTTTGTGAATTACTGTAATTTTGATTTTAAAAGTCTAGGATTGCTAAACGATCTTGGGGCCAGAGTATATACAGAAAAGTTAGATTATGAATTTTTAGCTGATCAGAAATAAATCAGATGTTTATGGCTATTTAGTAAACTTTACTCTAAAAACTTGATTTCGGGAATCCAAAGAAAAAAAATGGAATGGGGATTTCAGAAAATCAAACCAGGAGTACATGTACTACATGTCCAAGTGAATCATGGGACGTATAGACGCCATTTTTTTAAAGAAGGAAAATAGTTTAATTTATGAAATAGTGCATCTTCAATAAATCATTGTTTCTTCGATTAATATATTATATATCTAAAGATCTACAGATAGAATACTCGCTTGATTTGTTATACATTTGTAAATTCGGTGACTGCGGGATGTCACACGAAGAAAAAAAAGTTTCCTCCCGCACCAACTATTGTTACATATTGAACGATCTGTTCCTGAGAAACACTAACTTATTTCCTGAATTCCGATATGTTTCTGAGCAAATAAAATCGTTCGCACTTTGTGCATATATTCCTCTGACAATTTCTCTATATAGTATACTTGAAATACATTTTTCGCGGGATTAATATTTCCTGGTTTTTATAAATTACAGTGGCATAGCTTCTATGTATGCTTGCATGCCTAAGCATCCACATTATTATTATTTTTTTAAAGAAAAATACAAAATTCTTTGAAATGAGAATGTATTTTATTAAGTTGGTATCGGTGTTCAAAGATAAATTCTTTTGCATTATCCAAACACTGCATACTCAATCTAACACTCCTAAATGTTGTCAATTTCCGTGGATCCCACCAACCCCCGGCTGGGGGAAGGCTAAACGCTTCCCCAGACCCCTTAGCTTGATTCAGAAAAAGCATCCACTTTATTTTTGCCTATAGCCACGCCTCTGAAATAAACATCTATAACATTATTCCTGTTCTCATCCTTAAGCTGTTGTTTTGAAAATTTTCATTATTTGCCACCGACGTTGATATCAACATATCCATAAATGAAAGAACCAGAAAGGTGGAGGACAAATCGCTAATAACGCACATGGATGCATGTTACTGCTGGATGCTTGATCAATTCGAAGGCATTTTTGAGGCGAAATCATCGCCTTTTTTACACTTGATAATTAAATTGTAACAGTGTATTGATATGAATAAATTTAAAAGCTACCCAAGTAATACTTGTTTAACCTCGATTGAATTGATTTACATTTTTAAACGACTTTCATCGATTGGATATGATCTGCTACAGTTTCTGAATTCTGTCAGAAACAGGCCGTTTATCCGTAAAAAAAATTCTTGATGAGATTGGTGATTTCAACGTTTGTTAAATGCAAAATCTTGCGAGAGTTGAACATATCCTACACCAAATGTAGGAAAGCCGATTGTCCTTTCATTCAAGATTGTTTCAAATTCAATACTAAATTTACCGTCTAAGAAGTGTCTGGGATTGGGGGGGGGGGGGGGGGGCTTGGGATTTGAAATGATTTCTCCCTTTTTCGATCCTCTGCTTTGACTATCAAACAGAAATTCTTTGACAAGCTAAAAAAAGTATGCAGGCGCTATTCATGTTAATATTGGAGGGGGGACAAGCTAAAGTAACTATAATTTACTAATGTTTCTATAATGTACTAGCAATGTTTCCTACAGTCTACTATATATCGGTAAGTTAGGGGTGCGTTTCGGCCCCCAACCCCCCAACCCCCCGTTTTCTATGGCTATGACGTAGACCAACTTCACATGCACACCTTTACATCAAACAATTTTCTCAATGGCTGAATGTTTCAAAAATAATTTATGTTACATATGATTATATTTATTAATTTCACCAACCCCAATCCCCACCCCTCCAAATATTTGTAATACATGTGCACATCGTTTGCTTATAGCCCCTCCCCCTCCCTCCCCCGTGATATTCGGCTAGATCTACTTCTGTAAGAAGCATCTTATTTTAGGAATGATTCTAATTCTTGGCCAAATTATTCGAGTATAACCTGGTTTGGGTCAGTTTACGCTTTATAGATAAAACGGCGTAAACTGACCCAAACCAGGTTATACTCGAATAATTTGGCCAAGAATTAGAGTCATTCCTTATAATTTAATTTTAAAATCATTAAATAACTAAGGGTGTAAAATTTCGTTGCTTTTTATTAGTTCAAATTTGCCGCTCAATAATACAACCGTAGTAACGGAAGTGATGGGAAGCGAGGGGAGGTAAAAACTGATGCATAGGCCTAGCGGCAACCTTGTTGTTTGTTTACATGTGGTAAGATCGAATTATTGTTAAGTTAAAGGTACATTTATTAAATCTGGAATTTTCCATGAATCCCGAGGACTGGAAATGAGAGGATTGTATGGATACAGATGATTCAGCTGGTTGTCAAGGGGGGGGGGGGGGGTCCCCATACCAAACCAGGTTATACAGAAATAATTTGTGTTCCTTTTTGGATATTAATCAATCAGAGGCTAGAATACAAACAAAATTAAATTATTTGAAATTATGTGTGAAATGTGTCAAATTTATGAAAATTTCTCTTTTTTTCTGCACTTGAAATTCCCAGATAAAATATGCTTTGTTTGAATTTGTCTCTCGGCAAAAATGAGATTATACATTGTATATAATTTAACGAGCTTCGATCTCTAGTAAATTTTGTATAATAGGCCTAAACATTTTAAAAATACTGGTAACGCAGGTTTGTTTGTTTGTTTGTTTTGTTGTTTTTTTGTATCCCAGCGGATCGAATAGACATACAGAACAGTCTTATTTATTTTGTCCGAAAAAAATTCTAGGCGAAAAGTGTGGGGTTTATTTAGATTACGTTTTCCTATTTTTATAGCAGAAGGAAGAAGCGTTTTACATAAAATACAAGTTGAATTTATAACTAGAATACTTTTTAATTATGGTATTCTCTCTTCTAAATGAGAGATTTATAAGTTGTAATTTAAACAGCAGGAAGAAAAAAAATCAGCTCATTATTGCGTTTAAAATGTTCTTTTTATAAATAGTCTTTTACATTATGATTTTTATTACTTTGACAAATTACGCGGACTTTTTCTTACGACTGTGACGTAATATTAGCAAAGGAGCTGACGTCATTCAGTCAGAAATTGAAATGTCCTTGTGTTTTATTTAGTATTTTATATTTATAAAATTATTACAATAAAGAATTTATCTTTAGGATGTTGCTTACAGTTAGAAAAGAAATATTCAATGCACTCTTTTTCTTGTAAGAAAAACCGTTCACGGTAGCTCAGTCGGTAGAGCGCTCGCTCCGTGATCGGGAGGTCGTGAGTTCGAATCTCGGCCGCGACAGACCTAAGTCGATAAAAAATAGGTAGCAACTGTTCCTTCGCCATGCGCTCGGCACTTTGAAGTGAAAGTTGCGGGTCCTTCGGATGAGACCTTAAAAACCGAGGCCCCGTGTCACGGCAGGCGTTGGCACGATAAAGATCCCTCACTGCTCAATGGCCCTGAGTGCCGAGTAAAGGTCAAAATTTGAAGCCCTTCACCGGTATATGGTGACGTCTCTATATGAGTGAAAAATTCTCGAATGGGACGTAAAACAATATACAATCAATCAATCAATCTTGTAAGAAAAAGTTCTGGCGTATCAACTGCACAATTTTGACACAGTTCTGGCAGTAAGAGGGTTAAGGAACAACAAACCCTACCTGAAGCAAAAGTTCCATGAATGATGCCCACTCTGGACCCAGACTTACCTCATATGCTGGATCTGACGTACGTTTTGGTAGAGGTTCATTCCAAATTAACTAAAAGCCCTATACCTGGACCAAACTTTAATAGATGTT